AGATTCACGATTTCAACATTAGCATCATTCCCCCAATTATTTCTGCCCATTTAAACAAGCTGCAATAACTACGACAGTGATGCAAGTGAATTTGTGAAGTTATGCTTGTGTTGTGCAAATAAATAGTTAGCGTACGCTGCCTGTAATTGAGAACTTAGACAACCGCGACATATATACTTTGCAGTACTGCATGCATTACATTAGTATATAGCGATGGAGGGAAGATGCCTCAAACTTTAATATGCCTTCACAGTCCTTGTACGAGTCCCCCATGTCATCGTTCCTTCCTTGTCCCTTGGATTCGATAATTCTGGACTTGGCTATGGAGATGCTGAGGTGACGATGCGGTGCACAGAGAAGGAAAGGGAAGCACTCCGGCTTCATCATGGATGAGAACAGCCAGGTAACGTTTTCTTCGTGGGGAACAGATGCTGCAAAACAAGATTGCTGCAGATGGAAAGGAGTCGCCTGTGACAACCGAACAGTCCATGTTGTGAAACTTGTTTTTGGCCAGGAATTCCAATTGAAAGTAAATCAATTTCAACCATTGAGAGGTAAAAATAGCTCTCAATTGACTGAGTTGCAGCATTTGGAATACTTGGACCTCAGTTGGAATGACTTCAATCGGAGCCAAATTCCAGAATTCATTGGTTCTCTCAGCAACTTAAGGTACCTCGACCTCTCTTATTCTTTTTTTGGTGGTCAAATTCCAAACCAACTTAGAAACCTTAGGGCCTGTTTGGTATCTTATTTGAAATTTTTTATCATTTCTCAAAACATTTCTTAAAAACAATATCTCGATCTCATTTTAACGACTTCAAAGTGAAAAACCTCAATTGGCTCACTCATCTTTCTTCTTTAATGCACTTGACCATCGATTCTGTCAATCTCAGTAATATTTTTGACTGGCCAAGAACTGTGAATAACCTCCCAAAACTAGTGGATCACTTGACATTAGCAAGATGTGATCTTCCTTCTCCAATTCCTTCGTCTCTTACTTCTCACCCAAATTCTTCTAAATCTCTTGCTAGTGTTCGACTCTTCATCGACCATTTCAGAAATTCTTCTTCAATATTCGAGTGGCCGTTCAACTACAATACCAGTTTAACCATTTAAGTGGTTTCGTTCCCCATGCTTTCAGCCGCATGACTTCTCTTACTTATCAAATTTACCATTGGGCAAAGCCATTACACATTGAACTATTTATAGTACTCAGAACCCCACTGCCAGCTAGCAGAATCTAACAAACTTTCCTAATTACCTGTAATAGTCTCATTTAACTAACTAATACAATGACTAACTATGATTAAGCTAATCAGGGTCATAACATTGCCTACCCTTTAAGAACAACCTTGTCCTCAAGGTTGAAGGATTGAAAAACTTGTTTGAAACGAGCAGCAACTGAGTCTTCCAACATAAGTGTGAATTTCCTGTTTTCGTGAGGGGTGTGAGAATTCTTTTGAGCCAAAGCTGTGTTAACATCTCCAAAACAAGGGAGAGACTTGTTGATATAATGTGCTTTCCTCCTATCTCCTATAACTCTAGAATTTTTTACTTTTAAACTTCCCGTAAGGTCCACTAAATGATGGCAATTGCGTAGAGTGCCTCCAAAAGTATCTTTCCCCTTCACATGGACTATTAGGACACTATAGGAATGGCTGTTGCAGTTACTGAATGCAGATGAACTGACCATACAATTTGTCTCACCAAATTTCATGAGCTTGAAGGGATCAGTGGTAGACTTCATTAAATGCATCGTAGCATCTGAAATACTCCAACCATTATCCCCAGTGCGGCAACTTCTCTTTAATTGGGCAGTGTGTAAGTTTTCTGTCAAAATCTGAACCATGTTGTCTATCTTCTGATTCTCGTTCACCACCTTGTGATACCCAAGTGCGGCAGTAGACAACATCCTATGCATGTTTAGAAAGGATAATCCCAGATTGAATTTGAGTGGAACAATAATTCCACTGTCATGGAAATTGAGGTAAGCAATGCCTACATTAGCATTTCTTGCACCTTCTTCAAGAATATCTGTAATCTTAATGTCTTTACACCATTTCACAAACCTATCCAAAAACTCCATTGTCTGTAATTCAGTTTCTGTGTCGGTTATAGACTCCAAATTCTCATCAGCAGTATACATTACAGCCAATATGAGCAATTGATACCAATTGCACACAAAAGTCGGAGATCCCTGAAAATGGACAGGTGCATGCATAACAGCTTCCAGTGCATCAGTCTTGGTGGCATAGGTCTCGTCTGCAAGGATCACAGGCCTCCTAGAAGACACAATGCTCAAGCTTACCACTTGAGAGTTCGTAGTCATACATAGGTGTTTGCCATCTATCATCCCGGAGTCCACGAAATATATAGCACCACTGCAAAAATCATTTACATCCACAACTCCCCTTTTTTCCAGCAGCATTTTGCAATGTTCTCTTCCATAACCAATTCTTCCACCATCGTAAAGCATTAAAGTACTAATTCTTCTGTTAGTGAAATATGCCAACACTAAAGCAATGGACTCAATGGCAGCCATCAATTTTATAGGTTCTTTTGAGCCTCCCACCAAATTGACCACATAGTGCATCCCAACAATTCCAAGAATAAGAATTAACAAGCAATATAATGCATATATAAGCTTCACACTAAACTATTGTTGGCTGAAGGCATCAAATAAGGATTCAACAATGGAAATACTTGTGACAATGTTGAATGCATATTGTCGAACAACTTCAGAAACATCCACAACCTTAGCAAAAACTCTTATGGATTTGGCTGATTTGGTGAAGAGGTGATTTTTCAATTGCTTCACTGTTTCAGCAGTGTTTACAACTGAGATTGCAATAAGATCAACACCTCCAAAGATTCTGAATTCAATGTCACGCCAATCCAGAGTATACCGAATTGGGAGCTCATAGTTCCTCTTGACCAGCTTAAGTCTATGATCAAGCCACTGAAATTGCACTAACCCTTCATCATCTCTTGCTATGCAACCAAGTCTTTTAGGAGTATCAGGAGCAACCTTTTTTTACCTCAAAACCCATATTATCAGCACGCAACTCTTGCATTCTTTCCTTTATTGCTAGCTTTGTGTTATTATAAGATTTCCCAGTAATGGCGGGGAATGTGGGTACAGAAGAAACCATAATCATATGCCTTGCCAATTCAACCATGTAGTGGGGAATGGAGCTCTCTTGTACAACGGGAACATTTGTAGCAACAATAAGGAACATAGCTACAGTAATATTAGCTCTATTGTGCTCTTTGGACCAATTTTCTTCATTATTTGTTTCCAAATTGAAATCAGAACAATGGAACTGGATGGCAAGACAACCAAGTTGCTCAACTAAGGCTTTCTTTTTGTACCGCTCAATCTCATAAAGCAATGCCCGTCTTATGTTGCTTAACACTACTAACAAGTGCAAAAGTCTTTGAACATTGAAAAGATTATCCATGTGCTTGCCCTCCTTACACTGAAGATAGAGCATCAACTTTACAGCTTGAGCCAATGCATTTCCGGGATCCCATACCGGCCGAAAGTTGAGGTTACTAGTGAACGACACAGGGAAATTAGCATGTAGATCGACAGTCAAGGAACCAAAATTGATTTCCTGGTGATCCTTGAGAGAGAATATGAATTCAAAATGGGTGCCCATAGTGAATTCACCTTGTCTCTTAGACTTTTCATCAAAATCATGAAATAAGATTGAAGCAGTTGGTAGTGCTATCCATCTAACCCCCACATTCTCAATTGCCTTCACAACATGATCGAACTCCACATTTTGAAATTGGGAAAGGTCATCCTCAACTTGTGGTCCACTTGTAGCATATTGGTGAAAAGTAGCAGAGATACCTTGAAATTAACTTACTAAAAGCTCAACAACAAATGTGCAGCCACAGGAATTCCAGATACAACTATTGTTCTCGAAATTGTAGAGATCTTTCCAGTGAGATATTTCCATTTGGTCTTCACTCCCTTTCTCAGACGTTTTCTCAAACACTTCCAATGCATAAAAATCTTTCTTCACAAATTTTCCGACAAGGTACCAATTAACCCATCCAAATTTATCTTTCAGGTATGCACTATAGTTATCATTCAAAAGAGAAGAGAATTTAACCTCCGAATTTGCTGAAATTATACTCAATTTAAGAACTACCTTAGGTCCAGTTTTCGTAGTATCGGAGAACAAGGGCTTATGGAGTAGCTGCGGGCCAGAGGTCATCGTCTTCGATTTCGGAAGCAAGACTGTAGATGCAGCGAAGTTGTTCGAGTGTGGCTTGACGGTTGAATTTGCCAGTGCTCACAACATCGGTGAAGATGAGAGCAATGGCGGAATGGAATGGTCATGGATTATCGATGGAATTCGCAGTGGGTTGCGGTCGCCATTTGGAGATTTTTGGTGAACGACCTCGATTGATTCAACTTCCTTGGAACACATCGAAGCTGGATCAAAATCTCCCACGACGCCGAGAGCCAAGTCACGGCGTAACTAAGCAAGGTCACTGCGGATTTCTTTGAGTACAGGATTCCCAGCCTTGTGAATGGCTGCGAGTGTAGAAGCCACAGCTTTGCAGACCGCAGCACGCACCAAAGCTTCAAAGGAGTCAATTGCTGCTGAGAGGCGCGCATCCATGGCAGGAAGATGGGTCGGGTGGCCGTGCATAGGAGGGAAACCAGGATTCGAGAAGGATGATACCATTGATACAACCCAATTCTCAATTCCCATAATCAACCTGCAAGTAGCACAAGAAAGCTATGGAAGAAGAGGGAAGGAGAGATGGAGGAGCAGAGCTCCAAATATTTTTGTATTTAATATCTTTTTTATCAAATTTACCACTAGGCAAAGCCATTGCACATTGGACTATTTATAGTACTCAGAACCCCACTGCCAGCTAGCAGAATCTAACAAACTTTCTTAATTACCTGGCATAGTCTCATTTAACTAACTAATACAATGACTAACTATGATTAAGCTAATCAGGGTCATAACACAATGAAACTCAATAACAATGGATTCGTGGGAGAATTGCCTTCCTCCTTGAAAAATTGCACAGAGCTAAGAGTTTTTGATGTGGGAGAAAATAAATTGTCAAGATTGGTACCTGATTGGTTAGGGGTTAGCCTTTCAAATTTGACCATCCTTATCCTTCGATCCAATCACTTCAACGGAAGCATGCCGTCACAACTATGTAATCTAACACGCATTCAACTTTTGGATTTCTCTATGAATGACATCTTTGGAACTATACTCAAGTGCTTCAACAATTTTACTACTTTGGCTAAAAAGGGAAATTCAAGCTCAACCATCTCTAGCTCATCTACAGGCATGACTGTAGAATATATACCAAATGATGGATCCTCAATATTGAAAGAAAAACTTTCTGAGGATGAAGCATCATTAATATGGAAAGGGAAACTGTCCGTATACAAAAGTACTTTGGGACTTCTAATTAGTGTTGATCTTTCAAGCAATAGACTAACCGGGGAGATCCCTTGTGAAATAATTGAGATTGTTGGAATGGTTTCTTTAAATTTGTCGAGAAACCGTTTAACAGGTCAAATAACTCCAGAGATCGAAATGTTGCAATCGTTAGATTCTCTTGATCAATCAAGAAACCAAATATATGGTAAAATTCCAACAAGTGTATTTCAAATAGATGGTCTCGATGTGTTGGACTTGTCAAACAACAACTTGTTTGGCAAAATTCCAATTGTAACCGTCTTTGTGAATAAAGAAGATAAGGATTGACTTATAACGCAAGGATTTTACATCAGTATGGCGATCAGGTTTGTTGTTGGATTTTGGGGTGTTTGTGGCACATTGATATTCAACAGGTCATAGACATATGCATACTTCAAGTTCTTAAATGTTGTAAACGATTGGGTTTACGTAAGGGTGGAGTTGATCAAACGACAGAGAATGCTTTGATATAGGCAGGGTAAGTACAGTCACATATGCATTACACATACAGACCTACATCATCATTTTCTCATTTCTGTCATCCAGTTGGAAACTTTTTTCCAGTGAAATATTGTCTTTAATCCCTCCTAACGACTGTTGTTGTTTTACCTGCACTTTTTAAGATCATGCATATCTTTGTGACACTCCTGCATCTGCCATCCAGTTGGAGACGGAGATTGGTGACTGCACGTTTAAAGTTATGACGGACAACTGTTAGTGTAAAATGCCTCCGTAATAAGAGAGCATTGCTCGAAACAAATAATTTGTACTTGATTTTGTGGCCTTGTATGTGCTGTGTTGTTATCTAGCTTTGTCTTTGGGGGCTGGGTAAGGACCTTGTACTCTTATTTGTAAGAACTTTTTAATTGTTATTTGTAAGACTTGGTACTTCTATGAAATGTTTTATTTCACATTAATTCTTGTATCAATGTCGACACTTGCACAAAATATTTTGAAAAAAAAAAAAAAAAAAAAAAAAAAAAAAAACAATGTTCTACAGAAAAGCCTATCTAGGATCGCATCTCCTGAAAATTTTCTCTGCCGTTTTGTTCCATCGCATGCGATTAATCCCAAAATAGTTGATATTCTAGCTGCTTGTGAGGGTCTTCGACTGGCATCTCAAAGAAACTGGCAGCAAGTTATCCTAGAGTGTGATGCACTTCAGGTTGTTCAAGCTATTGGCAACCTTAACTATGACACCTCTGTTGATGGATTGTTAATTGAGGATATTAAGTCAAGTTTACGGGGTTTTGAATCCGTTAGAGTTCACAAAGTTCGTCGAACCGCTAATTATACGGCACATAGAATGGTCAAGTTGGCCTTATTTTCTAATTTTTCTAGTTTTTGGTTTGAGGAACCTCCGGATCTTCTCTGGGATTCCCTCCTCCAAGGTTGTATGCTTTCTTCTACTTATGAATAAAATTAGCTATCGTCTCCTCTTAAAAAAAAAAAAAAAAAAAAATCCAAAATTTGTGAAGAATAGCAAAATGGTAAATAAATCAAAATCAGCCTATTTTTACTGTAGCTTATGAAAGGTGTCAATTCTTCCCCAACTTTAGACTATAGTAATGATACATGTAATACCTATTTTAAAAAATAAATGAATTAAAATAAATCTTAAGATTTATAATTGATAGGTTAATGGAACTCACACAATAAAATAATTAAAAAGTTAATTGACATCACCTTTTCTCATAGCACCCCTAAATGAGATGTCAAAAACATATGTAGAATGCCACTATGCATATTTGCCATAAAAAAATCTTTCCAACCGAAATGTTATTTACTGATTGGATTTGAAGGTTTTGAGATTAGAGTATCTCCAAATTAAATGTCAAATTTTAAACATAAAATTTGAATTTAACAGCTTATGTGGTATTTTGACATCTTTCAAAATTTTGCTCTCCATCTTGTCAAATTAAATATTATTTTATTACACTATTTTCTTTTCTTTTTATTTATTAAACTATTATTTTATGCCCCTCCTTTCTAGACTTCTCCTATCATCTTCGTCGCCACCGAGTCCTCCCTCTCGTCCACCCTCTTCCCCTTCCCTTCCTTCCAATCATTCACCATCTTCGTCCTCGAAGTCTTTGGGACGCCTTTCTTCGAACAACTTCAGTGCAACAACTCGGCCTACCGACCCTTACTCTGGACCTCCCAATCGACGATCCAGACGCGATTTGTTCAGATCCAACGGCAGGGACGCTGCCGTTGCTTGGTTTGTGCTGTTTTTCCCAAATTACTCACCGATCCCGCATTTTCCAAAACCCAATTTGCAACCATCCCCAAAGATTAATGATGCAACACCAAATGCACAGGGGGCAAACCCGTCATCTCAATTACCTGCCCCAACACCTTACCGATCAAATCAGGACCCATTTCAATTGGCCTCACACCTTGTGCTTAGAAACCCGAGCTTGGATTTCTTCATACGGAATCTGCCCTGTTTCAATTATCTGATCAAATGCCCAAAGCAAACCCTTTTCCTGAATTTCACCATACACATTCCAAAATCTCCCTAAAATCCCACTTTCCTCCTCTCCAACCTCCACCACTGATTTGTCCGAAAACCTGTTTCCGGGCAAATCAAACGCAACTGCACAAGCCACTTTGGACCGCAGAGTTTCAACAACTTTTCGAAAAGAGTAAGAACTAAGCCCCAGGCCATGAACAATAACTACATTTTTCGATCTTACAGAACCTTTCTCAGTATAAAAAACTTCAGCCGAGTTTGATTCGGATGAGTTTGTACTTTTATGGTGCGAGTGAGAGAGGAGAGTTGCAGATCTGATAAAAAATTAATAAAAAAATATTTGGAACTGCTATCAAATTTGATAGCAAGGAGAGCTGTCATTCCATGTCATGTCATAACAGATTTGGCTTTAGAAGTCAAATATGACATTAATGTCAAATTTATTTTTAATTAATTGTAATGGTGGGTTCCTTATTCCACTAACATTTCAATCAATAAAATTTTGTTGCAACATTGTTTTAATAATTACAACTTCTATTTAATAAAAAAATAATAATCGACAATTCGATTGAATAAGTATAAAATTTGACATAAGACTTCAACTTATCACATTAACCATCAATTTTAATTTGACATCAAAAGATTCAATAAAAATACGCCATGTGGTAATAAAAATAAAATAATTTTATAAAATCAAATAAAAATATAAAAGTACAATTAATTTATGAAAATAAAAGCAAAACGTGGAAGAAAATAAAAAGAAACCACCGTCACGCTCCACCAGTCCTTCCGCACGAACCGCACCGTCCGGCAACCCCACTCCTCCACACGACTACACCCCAATCCCATCTTCATCGACAATCCATATCCTCAAACCACCATGCCGACTGCCCATGCCCAATTCCGACCCAACACCCGGTCTCCCCCTCCCTCAACTGCAGCCACAAACAACCCACACAAGCCCCGACCCGAACCAATTTTTCGTTCGGAACCTCCCTCACAAACTGTCACAAGTCCCCATTCTTGCATGGTTGATTGGGATTAAGTCCTCGACATTGGGCGCGTGAGAGAGAGATGAAGAAAGAAAAGAAGGGTTGGTGGTGGTTGTGGAGATGGTGACTCTGATGGGACGAATTCAGATGATAGGGGGTTAATTTGCTAATTTCAAAATATTCAGATCCTTAATTTACTAAACAAATAACTGCGGGGTTAATTTCGATTAGGGTGTTAATTCAGAAGGTCGAATGGCTGTTTTGTTTACCCAAAAAATTGGGCATAAACAGAGTGCCCAAGAAGAAACTCTTAGTGTTGAAATGACAAAAAGCCCCTTGTGCCTAACCGGAAATTGCGAGGGCCGAGTGACCCAGAGGCCGCTCTGTCATCTCTTTCTCATAGGAGAGAGACAGAGTAGAGAGAGAAGCAATGGCAATGTTCGTGGGTGGGAAATTCCAGCTGACGAGTAACCCTAGGATTAACCAAGACGCCAACCACAGCCTGGAGGGCAACATAAACCCTCGCCGTCTGCCCCACCATCTCAGGCTGCCGCCTCGACGGCCCAGCTCACTGCCCGTCCAGTCGCAGTATGTTAACGGAGCATCTGGGCCGTCAGTTTCATCGCTATACACTGAAACTCTCGGATCTCCATCACTTTCTCAGACTTCACTTCTTCACCTCCCTCAGTGGAACCTCACCCACCGCCGCATCGTCTTCCTCAATGTCGTTGCTTGCGCAGTAACTCTCTCTCTCTCTCTCTCTCTCTCTAAGTTCATATATTTATGCTTTTGGAAGCGTAATTCTGCTCTGAGTTAACCTTAATCTGCACAAGCAAACCTAAAAATTTCTCTGCAATTATTTGTCCTTGAATTTACAGCAATTGGTGGGTTTTTCTCATTGAGTAACATTTTGATTTTTGTGTTCTGAATAGGTAGCAGTTTCCGCAACGTGGCTCTTCTGCTCTGCTATCCCCGCCCTACTGGTTCGTAATCTTTGAATGCTCGATGGTTTTAATTTGTATTGGCAATTGGAAAATCGGGTATTGTTTTTGTCGTGCAATCGTTGTTAGTAAAGTGAATTTTTCAATGTGGTTGTTTCTGAAGGCTTTCAAGAAGGCAGCTCAATCACTCGAAAAACTGATGGATGTTATGAGGGAAGAGCTTCCCGACACATTAACTGCTGTTCGTTTATCCGGAATGGAGATTAGTGACCTCACTATGGAGCTCAGTGATCTTGGGTTGGCATTGCTATTCCAACGCTCTTATGTCGTTGTCTTATGATGAATGAAATCTATCACTTGTTTAATGTTCTTTAAAAAGACATTTCCCTGTGGACTCATTCGGTTTTGTTTGTTGTCCAGACAGGAAATTACACAAGGCGTTAGAAGTTCCACTCGAGCTGTTCGCGTGGCGGAGGAGAGGTTGCGCCGCTTGAAAAACATGGCTCCATCAGGTTATCCATGTTTTCTATAGTTTTCTTTTGTTGTTGTTTAAAAGGTGAGTTTTCAATTTGGTCTTGGAGCAGTGGATGTAAAATTCATCTTTACTTGCTTAGCATCGGTGCAGGTAGTAAGTCAGAAAACTGAGGTGCCAGGGCCCATTTTGGCTAAAACTGCAAGAGGCATACGGGAGGGGATCCTGAATGGTCGTGCTCTATGGCAAATGTTTTTCACTCTTACCCGGTTTTCTAGGTTGGCACTTCACTATTTAACAAATCGAACTAAGTAGTAGGGTAGATCACAACACATGCAAGAGCATCACGGTGAGCCGCATCAAATTTTTGTGAATGTACATAACTTTTCACATTTTCATTTTTCAGTTTAATAATTGAAGTTTTTTTTTTTTTTTTTTTTTTTTTTTCACTTAATGAGGATTTTCCGTTTCAGAGTGTTGCTTCAAGATAGACATCCTTTGATTTGCTTCTTGCTTTGTGCTGTTACTGTTAGTACCTCGTAGATTTGTATGAGAACACCTCCGCAATGCTTTCTACTTGACCAAATAACATCATCTCCTTGTTATAAACTCCCCCCTAATACTTAACAGCTTAATTAAAGTTGGTGAATTCAAAGTGTGCAATGTTATAATCTGATTTTATTTTGTGCTGTGATTGCTGATTAATTTTGGGCATTAGAGCTTAGTTATGATCTGAATATAGAATTGTGCTGAAATTGTAAAGTGTGCAATGTTATGATCTGATTTTATTTTGGAATTGAGACATTAGAGCTTAGTTCGTTTGGATGAGGGAATTTAAACTGGCATGGAACTTAGGGTAAATTTTTTGAGTATGCAATACATTTGAGTAGTTCATTGGTAGTGTTCCTGTCATTTAATTTTAACAATTGAGGATAAGTTGTTAGTAATTTGAAACGTAGCGTTAAGGGTCAATGTGTTGTATATCCAGGGCTAGAACGAAAACTAGATTGAAAATATAGTTGAATGTGAGGTTGCTAGATTTAATATATGTAATGGTACCACATTACTGAAGAGAATGGATACTCTAGGAATCATAAGACATGAACCAAAAGTAAGTTGCGGTTAATGTCAATAATAGAGTGCCTTGCTTGGCATTTAACTCGTATGGGAGAAACAATGTTGATACTTGGTGATGGGTAGTTACATGAGTGAGATTTTATCTAGATCTAGTAGCACGGACAAAAATTCTAGGGAAATACCCAAAAACAGGACAATTTCTTAATCTTGAGACAAAAATAGGACAAATCGGCCATGCACAAAACCAAAATTACTAAAATACCCACATATAAATAGTAAAAATGCACAGATGATGACATCATTTTTATGGGTTGGAAGAGCAGGATGTCGAGAGAGCTCTGGTTTTTGTGTTGAGCTCAAAGATGTGAGAGCAATGTCTAGGAGGAATCGAACTTGCTTCTGAGCAAACAATTCGAGGAGCACCAGAAGGATCCTGAGAAGCCCACCAAGGCCTCGCTGGAGAACTTGTAGCATGTGAATGGAGGCGGTAATGGGTGCGCGTGGACTGCAGATGGGCTGCCGTTGGGGCGCGTGAGCATGATGGGTAAGCTTATGGGTCAGGCTCAATGGGACTCAAGTCTCATTGCAATGAGTTCTATACCAGTGATGTTTGTGAGTGTTTTGTTTGATTTTCTTGAATTAACAGTTTGGAATTGTGCAATGTCTGGATGTCTGTGTTCTATTGGGCCCTCAGTAGCTTTGATGTCGTTGATTTTCGATAACAGATTGATTCAATTTTGATTGTGTATTTAAATTATGTTAAATTAGCTAAATTTAAATCTCGTTGTGGTAGCCTGTAAGCTTGATCCAGGCTTGTAATTGTTTGATGTCAATCTCCAGCAGTGTACAAGTCGTGTCATTCACTCGCTTTCAGCTGGGCTGGAAGTTTGGTCCCTATCCCTTGACTCGCTCAAGGAGACCAGGAAGTGGTCAATGTGATTCTAGAATGCAAGAAGGATATATGTGGAGGAATACTTTGAGAAATCTTCAAACGCTGAACATTTGCTATTGGCGAAGAAAGCGTAGCTGTGAAGCTAGTGATAGATGAGATCAAGAAAAAGCTTGATGTGTTTGTGGAAACCATTGATAATATCATATAAGGAAGGCAAGGACAGTGATTCTGCAGAGAATAATTAGGCATCCTTGATCACTGTTATCTTCCTCGTGGTCTATTAGTCAAACATGCGCACCATGCTAAAGCTAACTGTCCTCCTCCTGGTGGTCTATCACTGTTATCATACTGAAATACCCTTTCAGTATGTGTTTCTGATCACTGTCCTCTTCCTTCAAAACCTTTTTTTTCCCTGTTCTTTGCATTTGGAATTCAATTACAAGTTGTTGGTGTAATGAAGCATGCATTTATTTGTTAATCTTTCATAATCCAGACGTAAGTTTTCCCAAAAAATTTCTTCGAAAGTTGGTTTGTTAGATCCTTTATAATCCAGATGTATTTTGAAAGGGCGTTAGGGTTAGGGTTAGGGTTAGTAATTTGTGAAGAAATTGAATGCGGGTTGGGAAGAAGAGAGAGTGTAGACGTCGAAGAGAGAAGAGAGGAGAGAAGGAATTAACTCATTTACATACAAGGGTAACTTGGGCATTTTAAGATGTAGGAATTTTTTTTATTTTTGTTCGATTGTTGTGCATGCTGTGTGCGTATTCAAAAAATCCTATTTATGTCCTAAGATTAAGAAATTGTCTTATTTCAAGATATTTTCCAAAATTCTATGGTGCTCTAGGTGTTTTTGACCCAACATCTAACGGTTAAAATGCTAGTGAGCAAGGGCTTTTTTCATTTTTTTTTTTTTTTGGAAACTGGAAATATTCATAACTAGGGCCGGAGCCAAACACTGGGAGCCCTACCAGGAGGCAACAACCAGAGAAAACAAACAGAAAGCAGTTAAGAGGGGAACCAAGGCTAAAGACGCGGCACCAAGTGCAAAGCGTCGCCCCCTACACTACTAAAAAATAATTACTGAGGACACGGGAGACCATCCTTGCTCAAAATAAGCATCAACGAAGATGGGGGATGGTTAACCCAAGTAGAAACGCATATTTTCCCTGTCACTTCTCGACACCAAACGGTTTGGTTGAATAAAGTCGAGTCGTATCGTTCACACCAGCGGTCTGCAGCGCTGGTCATTTGGAAATGGGGGAAGAAAAGAGTAGAGACCGACATTGAGATTCTGACTTGCAAACTTGCAAGCAATAAAGCACCAAGTAAAACAAAACAATTAGGCTTAAATGTTATAATGGTCTCTGTGTTTTAGTCAATGTGTTAATTTAGTTCCTGTATTTTCAATTTGGGTAATTTGATTCTTGTGTTTATTTTTGTTAGTCAATTAAGGATATTTTCATCTATTTTTTGTAAAAAGATTTATAAACTACTATAAACTTATTTATAAAATTATGTATTTGATTTGTTAAAAGAAAAATTATTCTCCTCTCAACTTCCCGACCTCCTTCCTAACGTTACCCCCTCTCTTTTCTATGTCACAATCTTAATCTTTTTTTCAGATTGAAAGTTTTATCTCTTATGTCTTTTTTCTCATTGATTTGCATTTTTCTGTAAAGAAAAAGAGTAATTATATCTCTTATAATTTTTCTTATGAATTTGTTAACATAGATTGAATGAAATGTTATTAATTGGCTAACATAGACAAACACGAGGACTAAATTAGCCAAATAAAAAACACGAAAATTAGATTGACCATATAACTTTAAAACATGAACCATTTTGACATTTAAACCAAACACTTAAGTACAAATTTCATCATAGGCTTCGACCGCCGGCATAATCCCCTAAACAGTTATTGGGTTCCGTGACCATTACCATGTTTTTTCCTCTTGGAATTTTAAAACCTTTTTTTTTTTTTTTTTTTTTTAACAATTAAACTTTCGATTTCCTCGCAGCCTCACATTCTTGTACCACTACCCGTTCGTTCACATGTTGACACATCTAGTTATGATCAAAGAAATTGACAAAAATAGTATCGTAACAACATTGAAATTTCATGATCAGAATAAAAAAAATTAAATGGTTTCGCCTTGAGTTTAGCCTTTGATAGAAATATATGTATATGTAGTACCATTTTTTTAACACAATTTTTAAAACACGTTTTTGTGAGGCTCACTTCTTAATTTATTTTAACAATCTGAACCGTCTATTTTTTAGCATATCATTCACAGATCATCCTTGCAAAAAATTAGATGAAATCCAAAACTATTAAGGTATTCATTTGTAGTGAACAAAAATAGACGAATACGGTTTTACAAAGAAATTCTAAAGCTTTAACCCAATGGTCGTATGATTTTAGATTTTGGTTAGTAGATATGATCTTTGAGTGAAGACTTAAAAATAAAGGGTTCGGATCATTAAAATACATTATGACACATCCCGACCCAGAATGCCCACTTGGACTTTGAACCGAGCCGTGCTGGCCGACAATTGGAAGGTGACGAAGCCATAAAGTGTAGTGATGTGAAAAATGTGTATAAACTTAAACCTAAAAGTGCCTAGTAATACAATGTGTGGTGAGCGGGAATTAACCCATTTCACATGTGATGCCAGAGCATAAGTACAGTACAGTAAGATGGTGTGAGAATTATACCATCGAAGGTAATCGTCTACACCAAGATTTGCCAAGAATCCTCGTCGACATCTAAGCTCAGCAATAAAACTTGGAGGGGCGAAAAACAAGGGTGAGTGGGCTTAGAAACAAATAAAAACCTTTTTGAAAGCATAATAACCCCTCACTATAAAACCAGTATAGTTTCCAAAATATACATACTACGTATAGTAAGAAAATACTTAACGTAGCTTGCAAACTCTCAGGAATTCATTACGGCACAGTATCTCATAAATAAGGGCATGACATCCATAATCACAAAATCTCACATAAGCAACATATCATATCGGTGCTCATCGACACATTCTGATACACGAGTTCATGCAGAGGTATTCTGACATGAACATGACTGGTTCAAATAATAATATACGCTCTCGTACTACAATCACGTGAAGACTAGCGCTATGCGCAACACATATAAGTAGGAGTTGCCTATGGCAACCTGTACGACAAGACTGAAACCTACAATGGATCCAAAGTGAGCATACGGTGCGATGTGCACATACACGTGAAAGACTGGCCCTGGACCGGGCGAGTACCAACACTAATGCAACAAATGATGAGCAGATAAAATTCATATAGTCATGCCACAGCCATTCAACAATTCTAATCAATATCGTACTATTCATGACCATAAATATAATTAAGGCATCTCCTCATAGTAAGCTTACTTATGCATCTCGTAGGATTATTTCATCATTTCCCAACATTAAGGTATTTCTTATAAACATTAATTTAATCATGGCAATCGCATAAAGAATATAAATGGTTGTATATATGGAAACTAACAATATATATAAAGAAAAGACCCACTCACAGATCATGTCGTCGAGTCGAACCCGCCTTGTAGCATCAAGAGTCCTTGCGATGCATTTCGCCTAAAAACGAAACCATTTAGGTAAATATAACGTGCTAATGAAATTACGTGTTTTCATACAAAGTACGGATAATAAAGGAACTATCCTAAAATGGTCTAATTTTGGAAAACAGAAGGCGGTTTCGGAATCAGCGCGTTGAAATATGTTAAGAAGGGTCCCTGTCAAATTTTAAAAAAGTCAACAGTTAACCCTAAAAGTCAACCGATGTATATATTATTTGGGACAACTCACTAATCAATATAGGCCCACTAAGCCCTACATAGTCTTTAGTAATGCTGATTTTAATATTTAAGATCAATTCGTAGCATATTGTCCAAAAGTCAAGTCTTTATCAAAGGTGAGGTCCACAACCCTACACAAGTCAATCTGGAACATCTGCCCATGGATTTCCAATCCGTAACTTCTCAAAGTCCACATTATGCTTCTAGAACAACATACTAAAACTTCTTTACCATCCAACGGTTGGATCTCCGCCAATCGCAAATTCAAGTATCGATCAATGTTAGATTTTACAAACTTTAGAAATTCAATTTGGGAATATCTGTGCATCAAATTCATGATCCGAAAGTTTATAATGTCATAAATATTACGTACTATCACATATTAAAGTTTGGTGCCAATCCAACGGTCGGATCGTCCATTCATTTAATAACCAAGTAGCGGCCAACTAGGCTGTCCACACGAAACTAGATTAAAACATCAAGATTTCACTAAATGGATGTCAATTATGGAATCAAGGCATCAAATTAGCCTAGGATGGTCAGGTAGGGTCTCGGTCCACGCGTCACTGGACACAGTGGCCAACCGCCCTGACTCACCGAAAAAAATCAACTATTTCAAAAAATTACCAAATTTCACATAATGAAGATCTCAATTAGTAGAGCAAGTTTTATACTTGTGGCCAAGTCCAATTTGGCCGGAAAAATCCCTAATTTCACTCAAACTCGCTGGAAACCCTAGAAATGAGTGGCTTGGATCCATCACCTTCGATGCTCCTCCCCACTCAAACATGTTTGGGCTTTGTTCTTGACCTTTAGAGGAGTGTTTTGGTGGTGGTAATTGAATGAAATCATTTCAGAATTGGTGGATCTTGGGCAAGGGTTTCCGCGACACCCACGGGTTCAAACTTCGTGAAATCGTAACCAATTCTTGTCAATTTTGGCTAAAATGGATGATGAGATGTTGCGATGAGGTTTAGTGGTGATACGAGGTTGAGGAAAGCCAAAAAAATGGATGGAAAACCATCGGGAAAGTTGCCGGAACTCGGGTCGGGTCGCAGGTCTTCAAA